CAAATCACTCTTGAAAGAATAATCATACCCATAAGATAACACACAAATAGAACAAGAAGAGAATTACAAGCAAAGATCACTCAAAGATTTAAAACTCAAGTTAAAGCACAAGTTGGTAGGTAGAGATATTCAATACAATGCTCTTCAAACTTGTTCTAGATCTGTTACTAACCATATTTATAGCCCCTTACTCGAAAATAACCATTTCTAGCCATTGGGGTCATTAAATGCTTTGTAAGTCGCATAATTTCAAGTTGCAAATTTGTTTATACAGTCGACTTCAAGTCTAGAGCCGGCTTTGTACAGTCGGCTTAGAATTCTGCAGCCAATTTTGCGGGTATCCTGCACATTCTATTTTCTTCATAGAGCTAGCTTAGATTCTTATAGTCGGCTTTGTAGGTTTCCTGCACATTTTGTTTCTTGAATAGCCAACAGCAAAATGTAAAGCTAACTTTGGAATTTCGATTTTAAAAACATTAAATAATCATCAAATAACTCGACCATTTTGCATTAAATGCGCCATCACAGCCGACTGCAAAGTTTTAGCTGGTTTTGCGTTCGTTTTCCACGCGTGCCAAACTTTGGACTTAAAGTTTTTAGGTTAAATACCCTTTTTGGTCCCTCTACTATAGGAAAAAGCCCCTTTTTAGTCCTTGTACTGACAAAATCCCTTTTTTGGTCCTTATTGTTCACAAATCCGGCCCCTTTTTAGTTCTTCCGTTAAATTTTGGCTGAGGTGGCAGGTTAATTAACGGAAATAGTTGATGTGGGTATGCCAACGTGTAAAAGATGTTTACAAGGACTTATGACACCCGCCACATCACCCTCCACGTCCTCCGGCCTTTTTTTTTTTCCTTTTTTTTCCTTTTACCTCCAGGCGAACCCAAGAGCCTGGGTTCGCGAGGAACCGAGCTCGTGGGCTTGCGATGAACCCAGATGCCTAGGTTCAAGACGAACCCAGCTCTTGGGTTCACTTGGAGGTAAAAGAAAAGAAAAGAACCTAGGTGACTGAAGGCAAGCTGTTCCAATCTTTCCAGGTGTCCTGAAAAATGTTATTGCAAGCAACACCATAAATCTATCAGCCAAGCTAGAATGTTATGAGCCATTAGAAAGATTGGGTTCGTCGCGATGAACCCAGCTCATGGGTTCGTTGTGAACCCAAGAGCCTGGGTTCATTGCAAACCCAGGCTAGGTTCGTTGAGAACCCAAGCTAGGTTTGTCGCGATGAACCTTGCTCGTGGGTTCGCGACGAACCCAGGAGCTGGGTTCGTTGTGATCCCAGGAGCTGAGTTCATTGCGTACCGTTGCGTACCCACGAGTAATGCATTTGTTCAACCAAAAGGACTAAAACTCATCTCATGGACCAACAAAACCTATTCAACTTGCTTCTTGGAAAAACCTATTAAAAACAGTTAATTAACCCAAGTCTTGGTGTTCAATTGATCACAGAATCATTTAACCAAATCAATCTAATCTTACCAACTAACATTTTTCCGTGCTTGAAGTGCTGCAAATTACCACTGTTGACGACCACTTAAAATGATTAAGTGTGAAAATATTAAAGAAAAAGGGAGTTGCCACTCATCTAAATTATAAGGTGGGACAAGTCACCTAAAATGGATCTGCACAGAGATTGGGGTTCGGTGGTTTGGTTAGGAGTGAGGAAAGGCATACGCACATCTCACAATCCTCCGTTTAAACACGGTTGCATACTTTAACATTGGGGTTTTAATTCAACTTGTTCATCATGTTGATGTTTGAGTTTTAATAAACAAACTTTAAAAAAAGAGATAAAACAAATTGAAACACATTTAAATTTTTGGATTAAAATGATCAAAATCAAGACATGCATGCACCATGAACATAAATAAAAATTAAAAGGACTAATTTGATAAAATTCAAAAGATAGAGGACTGATTCGATTAAATTCAAAAGATGAAGGATTGATTTGAAAAGAGTTGAGACTTTGGGACTAAATTGCTTAATCATAAAGCTTGTGGGTGAAATTTGGAATAAACAAAGATAATTTTAACTATGACCAACATTAAAGTTAATTGAAAATTGAAATTAATTAATTGAAATAATTAGTCTAATTAAATAATTAACTTATCATTAATTAAAATTAATTAAAATTAATTAATCACATTTACTAATCTTTAATTAAGATAATCAAATAAATCTAATTATCTCAAATTAAATTTTCATAAATATAATTAATTTATTTTGATTAA